GTTACGTCCCTATTACGGAAAAGAATTGAGCATCTTCAGAGAGAAGTACACTTCGGTGCACGGTTACATCTCCGTCATAGTATGTCTGTTCGGCATCTTCGCCAACATCCTCAACATCATCGTTCTGACCAGAAAAGACATGATCTCTCCCACCAATGCCATCTTGACGGGATTGGCGGTGGCCGACATGTGTGTCATGTCTTCTTATTTACCATTCGCCATTCACAATTACATCAGAGTAGACCAGGCGGACGAAGATAAATTTTCGTACGGGTGGGCCGCCTTTACTTTGTTTCACGCCAACTTCACCGTGGTATGTCACACCATCTCTATATGGTTGACCGTCACTTTGGCCATTTGGATATTCCTCTCGGTTAGTTTCCCAGCTAACGTGGTAAAATGGTGCAATATGAATCGAGCCAAACTAGCTATAACTTTGACGTACGTTAATTGCGCAATATTTTGTCTACCCGTTTACTTGACCTTCCAAATTCACGAAGTGCGTGAGAACCAAGAAGTCACTTACCAGATAGGATTTAGTAGAATCGCTCAGAAAAGACAACAGTTATTCCAAAATGTCAATTTTTGGATATTTAGTGTTTTGACCAAGTTAGTGCCCTGCGTGTTATTAACAGGTTTGAGTCTGGGATTGATTAGAGTACTGTACGAAGCGGATTTGAGAAGACAGAGGTTGAAGAATCGTTCGGAATGCGACAAATCGTGCGATAGAACCACTCGAATGTTGTTGGCCGTCTTGTTACTCTTTCTAGTCACAGAATTTCCATCGGGAATTTTGGCTCTTCTTAGCGGTATTTTGGGTAAAGATTTTTTCGATAACGTTTATCAGAATTTTGGAGAAATCATGGACTTTCTGGCACTTGTTAACAGTGCCATCAATTTCTTCCTCTATTGCTCTATGAGTCGTCAGTTCAGAGATACCTTTGCAAAACTCTTCACGCCGAAGATGGTGACTAAGTGGATAGCAGTTCCCACGGAACCGGGCATTAGTGTTTTTCTTGCTCCGAAATCATTAATATAGAATTAAATATAGAGACTAATAATAAAATTTTTATTATAAATTCGCAATTGAATCGGAGCATCAATTTCTGAAGTCTCTTTTCCACGTGTCTCCAATATTATCTTCGCTGTATGCTTTCAATTATCGTTTAATTTCTTAACCTCTAAACTGATCTGTAGAGATTATTATTATTATTATTATTATTATGTTTTTAATCAACGTCCACATTTATGCCCTTATAATAAGATGCTCGAAATCAAAGCGATGTAGATAAATCTTTATTTACTCTAAGATATTGCAGTCAAACAACGTCGACTTTTACACGCCAAAGGCCATCTTTGTATTGTTTATTTTTCTTCTTTTAGTTAATTAAATTATCTAATAGAGAATCAAACTATTGAAATTATTTTATTTTTTTATTTTTGAACATTTTTAATTCAAAATTGTATTCGATTTTCACGTCTTTTCTTCTCGTTCCTCATTGTTCGTACCTTCATCTGTATTTTCTGTTTCGATAATTCATGTTCTAAAGTTCTGAAGTAATCAGATTTTACTGATTATTATTGATTGAAATGTACACAATTAACGTAGTCGATAACTTTATTATTTTGGAGAATAGAGAGATGTTTTTAGTAGAATTGTAAACTTTAAACTACTCGGTAGCATGCACAATGACAATGTTTAGGATTATTGTTTGCAAACACGACCTTCTGTTCGGAATACTTAAGAGGAAGGACATCTATTTTTAAGAAGGAGTCTCTTATAAATGTTATTCTACTTTTACAATAGAATACAAAGTGTCTCATGCAAAATTAAAAATAAAGAAAGACATACTTTATATATTATATCTACTTTTATTCTATAACATTTCAAAGGAGTTATTCGAAATTTAGGGAATTAAAAGCTATAATTATATTTGTTTCCTGAAAAATATAAAATGTTTTATATTATATTAAAAGTAATTTATCGTAAAATAAATAAATAATAATAATAAATTTCCAATTTAAAGTATATTGAAATTTATTATACTTTTCAGATTTTCTACGTATGAAAATCACTTCAGAATGAATTCGAGAAGTGAACTTATTTCTCTTCGATCTTTTACCTGTAAATAAGAGAAATAAAAGATCGATCGTTCAGTTTTGTAGAAGAAAACACCAGAAATCTAAATTATTCCGGAATTAAAGATTTCTTCTTGAAAAACTCGAGAATGAACGACTATCTGATAGAATTTCGGTTGGAATTTGACAACCAGACCAGCTTCTGGAGTAACTTGACTGGAAATTGGTCATTTTCTAACGTTTCTACAAATATCGACTTTCGCGTGGAAGAGGAACCGTTACGTCCCTATTACGGAAAAGAATTGAGCATCTTCAGAGAGAAATACACTTCGGTGCACGGCTACATCTCCGTTATAGTATGTCTGTTCGGCATCTTCGCCAACATCCTCAACATCATCGTTCTGACCAGAAAANTTATACTTTTCAGATTTTCTACGTATGAAAATCACTTCAGAATGAATTCGAGAAGTGAACTTATTTCTCTACGTTCTTTTACCTGTAAATAAGAGAAATAAAAGATCGATCGTTCAGTTTTGTAGAAGAAAACACCAGAAATCTAAATCATTCCGGAATTAAAGATTTCTTCTTGAAAAACTCGAGGATGAACGACTCTCTGATAGAATTTTGGTTGGAATTTGATAACCAGATCAGCTTCTGGAGTAACTTGACTGAAAATTGGTCATTTTCTAACGTTTCTACACATATCGACTTTCGCGTGGAAGAAGATCCGTTACGTCCCTATTACGGAAAAGAATTGAGCATCTTCAGAGAGAAGTACACTTCGGTGCACGGTTACATCTCCGTCATAGTATGTCTGTTCGGCATCTTCGCCAACATCCTCAACATCATCGTTCTGACCAGAAAAGACATGATCTCTCCCACCAATGCCATCTTGACGGGATTGGCGGTGGCCGACATGTGTGTCATGTCTTCTTATTTACCATTCGCCATTCACAATTACATCAGAGTAGACCAGGCGGACGAAGATAAATTTTCGTACGGGTGGGCCGCCTTTACTTTGTTTCACGCCAACTTCACCGTGGTATGTCACACCATCTCTATATGGTTGACCGTCACTTTGGCCATTTGGATATTCCTCTCTGTTAGTTTCCCAGCTAACGTGGTAAAATGGTGCAATATGAATCGAGCCAAACTAGCTATAACTTTGACGTACGTTTATTGCGCAATATTTTGTCTACCCGTATACTTGACCTTCCAAATTCACGAAGTGCGTGAGAACCAAGAAGTCACATACCAGATAGGATTTAGTAGAATCGCTCAGAAAAGACAACAGTTATTCCAAAATGTCAATTTTTGGATATTTAGTGTTCTGACCAAGTTAGTGCCCTGCGTGTTATTAACAGGTTTGAGTCTGGGATTGATTAGAGTACTGTACGAAGCGGATTTGAGAAGACAGAGGTTGAAGAATCGTTCGGAATGCGACAAATCGTGCGATAGAACCACTCGAATGTTGTTGGCCGTCTTGTTACTCTTTCTAGTCACAGAATTTCCATCGGGAATTTTGGCTCTTCTTAGCGGTATTTTGGGTAAAGATTTTTTCGATAACGTTTATCAGAATTTTGGAGAAATCATGGACTTTCTGGCACTTGTTAACAGTGCCATCAATTTCTTCCTCTATTGCTCTATGAGTCGTCAGTTCAGAGATACCTTTGCAAAACTCTTCACGCCGAAGATGGTGACTAAGTGGATAGCAGTTCCCACGGAACAAGCCGTTACGCGTGATACCACTTGCGTGTGATTACGCGTTACGAAAGCTTTTAATTGCGCACAATATAATGTTAACGTTATAATTAAAGAATAATCGTTCGAAAAAAAGCCAGCTCAAATTCTATTTGTTATATAAAGTTACGTTGTATTTAAAGACAAAAGTTGTAAAATAAAGATGTTAAAGTCGAGAGAGAAATTTAATATCCTCGTTACAAGTTTAACGGGAGTCGAAGGAAAATTACGAAGGGATTAACTCGTCTATAGTTTTAGAAAACTTATGCAAAATGTTTAGATCTTTATTCACACGGGAACGAAATTAAATTAATTGATGTTGCAACGAGAAAATTTCTATCTTTCAACGGGTTTCGTTGTTATTATTCCACCGTCGTTCACTCTTTTGTTAAAAGGATTTACTTTCTGAAAATTAATACTTTAATGGAATAGTAGAAACATAGTTTCTGAGTAAGCACAATTGAATTAATCTGAAGAATTCTTTTGCAAATAATCGAGAAGAAATTTTACATCAACAACTACAAAGAATTCTTCAATTTCTCCTTCGTTTTTTAATGAATATTACAATTTAATTTTACTAGTAATCTTTATATACTTTACACTACAATTCCCACTGTCCGTCTGTCTGTCTGTCTGTCTTAGTACTTTATTGATAAAGTTTCTCTCAAAAGTCGTTATTACTTCTTCCGAACTTCGTTTGATTTTAACGCATTAAAATCCAGCAAATTAATTAAACGGTTTTCGACTAAATAAATAAGATAACGAAACATAATTTATTCCAAATTAAGGTCGATAATCGAATTTACTTACGCGAATTATTGATATTAATCAGGCGAGAAGTTGTTAAAAGCTCTCTAATAGCCGTTTACCCTTAATATTATATGAAATTAAAAGAAATCCGTTCACAATAGAAATAGAACTTCGATAAGATTTTAATAAATCGAGTGAATCCGATGGTGTTTTTCTGTAAAAAATCCCGATTTTATACAAAGTAGTTTTGACAAAAAGAAAAGAAAATTTATCTATTGAAAGTTGGAATTAGAAGAATAGAAGGAGGAACGTTGATAAAGTTACTAATTAAGAAATAAATAGAAGAGGGAATTAAAGAACGATATGACAAAAGACGGGCCAATCACCCTTTGGAATTAAAGCTACTCGAAGTGTCTCCGAACACTTCTGTAATTTCTCGAGAGTGTTTCGTGTCTACTGTATAAATTTTCTTCGCTTTGAGAGGAAATAATTATAAAATCTTACTTATTTCCGGAAGATAATCTCAGAGTTTTGACCTCCCACTTTATACTCTTCGTTCAACAAGATTCTTTATTTACACGGCTTGTTTGCATATTTGGAATTATTCCAGAACTAAAATTTTTAATGGAGATTTTCTCTAGAATACGAATCTTTTAATAACTCGGAAATTATTCTTTCAAAACCACAGCATTAAGTTGATTAAATTCTAAAAACTTTTCTCATTAAATGGATAGAGACGAAGTGTTTTATACTACATCAAAGAGTTCATTTCATTTAGAAAGATGTTTACTATGAAAAAAATAATAATAATAAGTGGAAAAGAGTTTTCCCGAAGCTCCTAGTTAAGGAGAAAAGGTAAAATTTAGGAGCTGTTACACTTTATTCATCGTTAGATAAATGGAGAATAACGTCATCGAATTATATTGTTTATGAGTAACTTTCTTTTCAATTCCCAGTGTTACTTAATACGGAATTTGGTGGAAATCATTGAAAAAAAAAATAGTAAACCGAGAAAGTGACTTTCCTATTTTATATCGGTCGAAACGTCTTTGGAATGTTTCCAACAGATAAATTGATATACTTCGATTCCTTGGAGATTTTAACCAGAAGGATACGTACAAAATCTGTATTGTTATTATGTTTCTACATTATTTATCTAGAAAGTATTTTCTCTCGGTCAATAAATCACAAATATATTCAATTACTAATAAACGAAGAACACGCGAATCTTCTTTACTCTAAAGAGAAACTATCTTAATATTAATAAAAGAATAAGAGTTGTATACTGTATTTTTACTAATGTTTATTTCTTTATCTTTTACACGTGAGATCGAGTTGTTTGCAGGATAAAATTTTCCACAATTTTAACGAGTTGTAAAGCAGAGAAATAGAAGATTTTTTGATAGAAAAACAGTAAAATCGAAGTTTAAAATTGAAATTACTAGCAGTTTTGCTGTATATAGACATATAAAAATGGTGGAAAAGTAGCGAAAAAGGAGATGTTATTACAACAAGACAGAGAGCATCTCTCCTACGAAAAGATTGGATAAAAAAGATTCATCCCGGATTTTGGAGAATTTATTAAATTAATTCACTGCTAATTTTATCTTTTACGATGTAAAAAAACAAAGATTTTAATGAATATTTATTAAAATGTGTAGCAAAATTACATTATAAAATTTCATTTTTATTATATTATTTTGTAAAACAGTTTAATGAAGATACATTAGAAAGAGATGGAGAGATTAGATGAATGGCGATAAAAGAAAACACGTGTAGGCTACAGAGACAAAGATTATCAGTCTAATAAATTTTTATTTACCGCATTATACGCATTCAGATAGAATTATCTTCATAATTTTCTATATTAAAAATTACTATCTAATTTTTAATTCTTAAATTTATGTTAACGGTTTTTAAGTAATCATTAATCTAGATTGTAATTCATTAAATATACGAGTAGAAAGTATAAAATTCTTATAGAAATAGCATGTGTTTTAAATATAAATTCTCTTCGTTCGTAATAGAAAATATGGATGTTGTACGAGTTAGAGAATTTATACAATTCTCGTCAGACTCGTGTAATTTTGTTAAATTTAATCCGATTAGTAACTCGGTTAAGTACTTTACTACTTTTATACACAAGGTGAGCGAGTAATTCGAAAATATTAAAGATAGATTAATCAGTGAGTGCTCTAGAAATAATTGAATTAATGAAAAATTACGTGTCTGGATGTCATCCTCTATAAACATTCTTTCCAAATATTTTCCAAAATCTCTAATAGTTTTTCACTTAATACAGGAAATATTTATATGATTTTCCCCCGATATAAAAGCATTTTAGAAAGAAAAAATGAGATATTTCATATAGTTAATAATGAGTCAGTTAATTTGAATAAGATCCATTATCCACGCGGTGGAGGCTTAAAGAAGATTACCTTCTCCGACCTCCTCCTCCTCCTGCATTGATTCTAAAAGAACGACGAATCATTCGGAGGAGAAGAATCGAAGCGCTAATCCTCGAAAAGAACCCGGAAGTATCGTTACATCGTCGTTTTCTCTACCGGAAGTTAAACTCGTTTTAGAGAGTGACGTTATTTTCCTCCCCTTCTCTCTCAATTTCCGTCTCTCGCTGCCGTTTACCTTCTCCGCCAGCAATTAAGTCGCGAGTTTCGTTCGATAAACGTCCACTCCAGTCACAAAATTGACTACGAATATGATGAAAAAAAAGAGAGAGAGAAAGTTTATTTATTTATTTTTTTCTAGAGGAAGAACAAGAATCGAGAAGTGAAGTTACATTTTGAATAATGGAGAACTAATTCGATTGGATAAGCAACCGATTTCTCCGAGTGCTCTAAGGAATCTCTTTTTAACCGAAATTAATTGGATTATTTTTCGTTTCTAAAGGGGAACGTGTCTGTTATAGTATTAGTTAGTATTCTTCTGTATGATATAAGAGATAAACCGAATTTCAATCAAGATTATCTGGATTAAATTACACCATTAGTTATATTCGTTTTCTTCTGGAAAAGTTTATATCTTGCGCTTTTCGTTCTCATACCACACACAAACAATGCGATTCGGATAAGGATTAGAAAAAATGCTTCTAAATGCTTCCATAAATAACACGTTATACCCTATCGAAAGACCGTCGCGACAGTTCGAAACTCGTTCAAATTGAAGTCGACGTTTTATTTTTTCAGTGTTGACAAACGTGACCTAAGAAAGAGGTAGACTCTTACTCGAATTAATTGACGGATTGCATTATTTTAAGGAGAACGACCACCGAGTCAAACTAGGAACGATTACTTTTGCCTTTGCTATCGTTATAGCTTACGAAACAATTAACGACGTCTTCGTTAATTAAAAATTCTTTACGATATAAAGTCGTCTTTCTACTTATTTTCGAATAAAAGAAAAGAAAGATGTCGGTCTATAAAAAAAAGTTTAACATTAAAGCCAAGAGTTCTGCCGAGAAAAGAAAACACCGAAAGAATAAATAAAAATTCCACGGTTGAAGTCGTTTGATCTCCGCACTTCGCCGGTGTCTTTCTACTAGATTTTCTTCTTAATGGCTAACGTAATGTAGCTTTCGAGGATCACCATTGACAAAAAATCTTTTGTCGTAGCTCTTAAAGTTAAAAGAGAGACTATAATCTCCGAAAGTCACGCAAACTCGTACGGATCCATATATAATATATTCCCATATATTACATTAACGAGGGGGATGCAAAAGATAATTTGACACCGCCAGCATAATTAATTAAGTCTTGTTTACCACAAAAAGAAAATAAAGCGGTTTGTTCTTACACTTCGTTTCTTCTAATTGATCTTTAGTCATCCGGAATGTAAGATGCCCGCATTTACTTTACCAATTCATCGACAATTCGAATTTATTTTTATACCGATTCTATAAAAGGTAAATAGTTAAGGGGCTAGTTCCGTGCCATTGAGAATTTACTACCTTCAGTTTTCGACTATTAGACGTAATTGGAAGTGCCAAATTGAATTTCGGAAATGGCTAGGCCTGGGATATGTAATGCCTTAGTGTTTACGACGATTTATAGTCTAACAACGGAGCCGCCAATTGCCATTTCTGCTCTTACCCTTCACGAATTCCTCCCTTATCGCCGTTTCCATCGTAAATCCGAATTTTCTAGATAATCGGATATAACATATTCAAGTGGTAACAAATCTGTAGTGTCATTCTAAATCGATAGAACAGTTTCTGATCAAATTTCTAATACACTTATGATTGGAATAGCTAAGCCGATAGTATGGAGAGGTATGTAGTTGGAGAGCATTTCTCTTTAAATTAATAAGAAAAATAGACGATTTGGAACAAAATAATAATAATAAGATACATCTTTAGAACATATACCATTTGAAATTCTTAATATAAACTTCGAATTTATTTATTTTATTTACTAAAATCCATAACAGTCAAATTTAAAGAAGGGTTATTTAATATTTATTCACACATTCCATTACATTCTCCATCGCTCTCTATAGAAAAATATCGTATAACGATGGAGTTTAAGGATAAATGTCATTCGCATTTTATTATTTTTGAGTTATAAATCGAGTTAAAATTTAATGAGTTACAAAATGAGATTTTAATTATTTAAATTTGTATA